CATCTAAACCACCATATTATAATGTACAAGATTTGTCTTAATTATTGAAAGATGTTGTAAAGTGAGTACTGGTGGAGTATTGATGGAAATATATGTTATAACTTAATGTATCATTTATGGATTTAAGATGAATTTAAAGTTTTACTTTTATATATATTTTATGCTATTTGTTGTAAAATAATTTATAGTTGCATTCTGTCTGCAGACAGAACAGAAGCGAGCAATCGCAGCGGTGGTAGTGTCCCATTCCTGGTCCCGGGGGGCGTTTGCAAAGGTTTTAGAGAGGCTTGGGGGGCAATTGCCACCCTGCCCCCGGGCCCAGTCCGCCCCTGGGTCAGACTAATCCAGCACGTTATTAATCTTAGTGCCCCACTCAATACGACCGCAAGCAACAGGCATACTGAGTGGGGCAACTCAGATTAATAACGTCCGAAAGATGTGGACGGGGAGGGGGCCTCTTTAAGACTGCTCTGACTTCGGCGGGGAGAAGAGAACAAGAAGCTACACTGCCATCGTCTGTGCCGTCTTTGATTGGGCTCCTCGGCGGCCACTGCAGTTTCCTCCGCCCACCTCAGCCGCCATTGGTGGGAGAGGAAGACTGCCGAACCGCAGTTGGCCGGCTTCTTATGTTGTTCATTATTAACAAAACAGTGGAATGACTAATAAACATTATTATTACTATCTCATGACTTATTTATTTAGTTACACTTGAACTTTTCTCCTTCCCTTGGGTGGGGCAGAGCACCACATTGAGTTTTCCCCCCGGGTAAAAGAATGTCTAGCTTCGCCTGTGCCTACCTCCACCTGGCACCCCCTGGTAAGTCAATGCCTAAGTGAGCAATAGAGGCTTTGGCATTTGACAGGGGTTGAGGCTTAGTACTTGTAGAGGGTAAGGCTTTATTGGCCCCAGGTATAGCCTTAGCCTATGATTGAAGGGTGACACAACCACTAATCTAAAGATTAACAAAGATATTTGTGCAACAGAAGATGTCCGCACTTCAGACATTTTGAAATTATTTCCCACCAAGTTTATGGCCCCTACTCTTAAGTTAAAGGAGAACTATGAGTGCTTTTCACTCTGGAGGTGAGCGAACACATACCAGGTTTGCTCACCTCTCGATCCTGTCACGGCTCTCTGCCGTGACAGGGGAGGGGCTGGATTCCCCTCCCCCCTTCTCCGATCCGCCAGCGCTGACTGGCGGAACGGACGGAGGAGGGGGCTGGTACAGCTGGCTCTGCCTCTAGATAGGCAGAGCCAGCTGTCACTCACGCAGCTGGGCGGATCTTGACATCGATGTCGGGATCCGCTCCGGCTGCGGCGTCTCAGTATGTCTCAGCTGTAGCTCGCGGTATACTGAGCCTAGGGTGACCGGAGGACGCTAGTTTGTGTCCTCCCGTTACCCTAAGGAGAACTATGGGGGAAATCCCTGACCCCATAGTTCTCCTTTAAGACAGGTTTATGCTAATAAAAATTTTCTTGCATAAACCTAGTCATGACTGGACCTAATCTTCACTAGCAAATAATTCTGTAATGTCAGAATTACAGGTGACAAGAAAAGGTGAGGCTTCGGAAGGTTCTTTACTCAAGCAAGTACAGCTGCTGGGTGGAAGAGGGTCAAGGGCTAAATTGCTGACAGTGTAATAAGTGAAGTTGTAATTCATCTTGTTCCCATCCACATTACCAGGAAAATCTTCATCTTAATACATGCAGACTCACCTTCCCGGAACAAGTATACTGATCAGGAATATCTGGAATAACAAGTCAGCAGTTTTCATTTATATCTGTAATCATCTGTTCTATGTCAGCAGTTCTCAGCCCTCGTTCACACTATAAGCGTTTTGTAACGTTTTCTAGCAGAAAAAAAACGCCCCCAAAAGTTCCCATTTATTTCTATGGACATGTTCACATCTGAGCGTTTGTCACTTGTAGCAAAACACTTGCATTCCACCATCCCCGGCACATTGCAAAGCACTCTTCAGATGTTCCGGACATTAAAAATGCACCCCCACCAGGGGCCGCTCCCGGCTCACTCAAAATGTGCCCATGAGCAGTAGGATCTCTCTTCCTCTAGCAGTGGCTATGCTTAACCACTTGCTGTCCGCCCATTGTGAATACATGGGCGGACAGCAACCTCTTACCAGCGGGTGGACGTGCCTACACATAATTTTTTTTCTGCTAGGGGGCACGCGCAAGCAGAATCCTGCTGGTAATGTAAACAGCCGGTACCTGCTGTTACATACAAGCATTTGACCAGCTCTACAGCTGGCCGAACGCTTGTATAAAACTAAAAATTACGCCCCCCCTGCTGCCACGCTCCCCCCTCCACCTTTAGCTGTCATTTCTCTGGCTGCTGTACCCATTGATGAAGCTGGTGAAACAGATCTCTGCTTCATGCACTTCTTTGGGGTCCCAAGGTGACATTAAGGGTCTTAGAGACCTGTCATTGTATATTGGCTATCACATAAGGGGCTTGTTCGCCCCTCTATGTAATAGCAATAAAGTTAAGTGTAAAAAAATTAAAATAAAGTCTCATATTAAAAAAATCAAAAACACCCCAAAAAATGTAAGCTCCCGTCCCGTGTGCATGCACATATAAATGTAAATATGTGTCGGGTGCGCCTACGTGTGCGAAAACAACGATTACGCCACACATGTTACATAGCGCTGCAGACGTGGGAGTGAGATCAATAATTTTAGGGCCATTAATCACTGATAACACTAAACTGATGAGCAGTAAAAGCAACGTTGCCTATGGAAATGTAGGCATGGTAGTTTTTTTGCGATTTCTCCGGTGCATGCAATTTTAAGGCTTGACATGTTTTATGTCTATTTACCCGACGTGACCGCGTCTTTTATATTTTACCCAAAAAATTGGATGATAGTAAATGTTTTATAACATAACGTAGCGAGAACTGTTTTATTTTCAAAAGTTTCTGAACTTTTTTCATTATATAGTAAAAAATAAAACCCCCCAGTGGTGATTAAATACCACCAAAAGAAAGCTCTATCTGTCCCCAAAAAACGGTACAAAATTCATTTCAGTACAGCGCTGCATGACGGAATAAATGTCAGTCAAAGTACCGCAGCGCTGAATACTGAAAAATGGCCTGAACAGGAAGGGGGTTTAACAACCCGGTCAGCAAGTGGTTAAAGACGTAGTAAACTTGCAAACCTTTTTCAATAATGAATCCAGATCAAACAAATATACTCTACAGTGTTCAGCAAAGTATTTCCTTACATTTTTGCTCAAACACTTACAATCATCATGTTTCCAAACAGCTCCAACTCTCTTAGCTCGGCTTTCCTGAACCTCCTGTTCAGTACAAGATCACAAGAGACAGAGCAGTCTCCAGCAACTGTCCATCTACTAGCTTGGAGGAGGGAGGAAGGATGAGAGGGGAGCAGGGTGGAAGGAGAGTGACTTGCCTTACTGTGCCTGTGTGTTTGTGGAGACACACATAGCTTACTAGCACACATAAGGGTGATTCTATAGGATCCTGCAAGGGAAAGGAGCCACCCTAAAATAAGATTTCAGGACCAGTGCTCGGGAGACCATCTGATTCTGCAGGAAACTAAAACTTTTAAAGATCAGGGAAGCAGCATCCATTGCAAGTGATACAATCAGCATTCAAAATAGCCTTTTGACCAGTGGTTTAACCATAGCCATAGCAGCCCAGAGGGTTGCTATGGGGCCTGGGGGTGGAAGAGGGCCCCATTACGTTGTTAAGGCAACCAAGCATAGCACATGTGAAGATAACACAGTACAGTATCATTAAGGGTTTGAGTGGTTGCATTTCATGACAAGCCTAATCCTTTGTAAAGTCTACAGTGTAGGAAAGCTGATGTCAAGTGCTCAAGAAGAATCTTTGGGATGTTGGTGTTGTTAGTCACAGCTCTGAGAGAGGTCATCAGCCTCCCCCCACATTACATTTTGTAGGGTTGGCACCTTTTTTTCAAGCGAAACGCGAACAACAGCGACACGCTGACTTTTTTGGGGGAGAATGAGTCGCTGCTTATTCATATGTAAATATCCTAGATCAGGGGTAGCCAAACTCCGGCCCTCCACCTGTGGTACAACTACAAATCCCATGTGGCATTGCAAGACTGACAGCCACAGTCTAGGGGTGTGGTCACTAAAGGGTGTGGCCACTGAGGGGTGTGGTCACTGAGTGGCGCTGTAAAGCTTTCTCGCACAGGGCGCCTAAAGACCTAAGGTCGGCCCTGGGCATGACTAACAATTGCAGATTCAAGATGGTATTTGTAGTTTCCCCACAACTGGAGTTTGTCTTCCCCTGGGCCCTGACCGAGAGGTTTTTGCAAACAGGTTGTGCAGGACCTACAGGTATACAATGGGAAAGTGGGAGCTTTTTTAACATCTTAGCAGAGCTTTGCAATGTGCTGGTGGTGATGGAAAGATTTCTTAGAAAGTGAGCAGGAATGTGAACGTGATGCTTTTGCTTACTTTATTGCCTGTATTGAGAAATCTATCCTCATGAAAGTGCTCACACCCTGTATCCAAAGGAAGAAATGAAGGCGGTGAGGAATTGAAAGATCACACCACTTTCATTTCTTCTACTACCGTAACAAACCGATCCGCCTATTCACTAAAACCGAAACTGACAGCAGCAGGCAGATCTCGGGTGGGCGTAGCCTGACCACGTGCTGCTAGGCGAATCCTGGTGTGTCGAAATCAACCAATGAGAGGCATGTACGGCTGCCGATTTGACGTCACCCCATTGAAAGATCCCCCACCCCTTACAAAAAAAAGCCGCTCCGTGTCCGAGCATCGTTAAGCTGAATAGGTTTGGGATAGCGGCCCCTCCCCTTACGTCACGGCAGCCGCCCCGCCTCCCGGCCTGGCACTGGAGAAGGTATAGAAGAACGGAACGCCGCGCGGCTCAGTATTGTTCACAGAGTGCCCGCAAAGCATGTTGACAGTTCCAGGCGCAGTCATGGAAGTTGGGGAACCGCAGTTCAGTATCCTGCTGGCGACCGATTCGTACAAGGTGAGAGCCGCACCGTGCGCTAGTCGTACACTGAAAGGGGAGGACCGCTGCATTCACCTTAAGCAACCCTCCGAGTGTTCACGGCCTGTGTACGTGCAGGAGATCGCTGAGCCCCTGTGATCCGCGGAGGTGACCCGGGCAGGGATGTGTGATGTGAAGGTCAGGTTGGGAGGCCCCGTAGTACACCGGATCGTCTCTGCCTCGGTGCTGTGGGCGCGATGTACAGGCTGCCGGTGCTGATCACTGTCAGTGGAGGTGAGCCCTGTCATTTCACACTGCTGTGTGCTCGGAAGGCGTTCTACATCCGATCGCAGGGAAGAGTGAAGTCATTGGAGGTCTCATACAGTGAGGCAGAAGTTGATGGTCTCCGGGAACATGCAGATCCTTTGTGAAAGTAGCATGTCTCCTCACTCAGGATGGAGGTGATACATAGAGTTCCACATAGGTGACACAGTGACCTCCTCAGTCATTGACCTGTATTGGTGTATTTCCTGGTGACATTGAACAGCTTACAGTGGGAACATAACTCTACATGTTAGAGTGTCATGTGATGTCATACCTGAACAGTGTGATCTCTCCTCATCAGATCTGACTACTCTGTCATTGGTCGATCAAAGCCCAAATTTGCACTTGTGTAGCACAGGAGCCTGCTCAGTGCCCCATGATTTTGTGTGCATTCGAATGATGTGCGCAAACACAATGGAAATAAAAATTGTAAAGATTGAAGCTTCTAAAGGTGCTTGAGCTGCTTTTGTTGTGTATATAGGGCAGCACGTTGCAATGAATGGGCCGCCGTATACTCAACAAATGCACAAAAAAACGTGCATCAACGTCCTATGTGATGGGCTAAAGGAAATTGTACAATAGGATTTGTAACTGGATCTAGGTCACCCATAGACGGATCTTTATTGGCACTGGTGCTTGGTAAGAGCTCTCGATGCCCATGTCACCACGAGGCTGAATCGGCATTAATCCTTTTTATTTAAAGCCTATTTACAGATCAACACATGGAAGCACTTGTGTTGAATTGCAGTGTGTTAGACCAGGTCTGGGCAAGCTCCAGTACTTCATTTGTTGTGGAACTACAAATCCCATAAGGCATTGCAAGAGTCTTGACAGCCACAGGCATGACTCCCACAGACAGATGCATGATGGGGTTTGTAGTGTCACCAGAGCCTGGAGTTTGCAGGTTACAGTGCAGACATTGTAAATGCACTTTAATGAATGAAACAATAGGTCCTGATCTTCATTTTTGTTTAATGCCGAGTACAGCAATGTACAGAGCATCTGCATGTTGTAACACACTCATACAGTGCACTTGTTGAAGAGGTGTGGTTGTATAGCACTACAATATGACCATGTTTTAGGACCAAGTTTCACTTCCATGTTGTGTCAGCATATGGCAAAGTACTTTACATGTGTTCATTAGGAATGGCACCCCAATGTACTAGCGCAATAGACTCGCTTTGCTGTGTGTTGCATACCAAAGGGTCACTTCCTGTTTTTGGCACCTCAGGGTGCTAGTCGGCTTTCAATGGACTGCCTTAGTGCACCATAGAAATGGCCCTTCAATGAATCCAGCACATTGAGGGGAATTCATAAAAACTGCAGCAGACCGAACCTGGCACATTTATTCCCTTGACAGCCAATCTGTCTGTTTCATTTTAAAAGCTTAACTGAACAAACAGATGAGAGAAGCTGATTGGCTGCTGTAAGAAAGCTATCTGCTCCAGTTTTCATGAATCCCCCCCCCCATTGTTACTTCTCATTTATTAACCCTTACTGCTTCCGCTTATTGCATGGGATGCTTTGTGTGTCACATCCTTTTTGAAAACTGAAACCTGTAGCTGTCCTTAGGGTGATTTTGTTTCAGTTCATAGTCATTCATGTGTCGCTTATATTCGTTGTGTTTTTAGATCACTATTTAATGATTTTCTTGTCCAAAACTTGTATAGAGAAGAGTTGGAACCTCCGTCCTGTTTGGTTTTTGTCTCTGTTGGGTATATTCACACAACAGTGACCACGGTCACAAGCACTGATAGCAGGGGTGGACAAATTAAAATGGAATTCAGGATCCAGTCTGTCCAATCCAGTAGCCAGCTGAATGTTTGTTTTTAGGAGTCGGCTCCATTGACGACAACTAGAGAGAACCTCAGAAGTGAGGCATCAGCTGTCATTTTTAAGGAGCATTGGCATCCTGGCTCCTGGGACTTGTCCAGTCCTGACTGATAGTAAAAGGAATTCAAAAGTTTGGTGTTGTCACTGAAGCGGGAACAAAGTCAAATCTTTCAGTGTGGATGTCTATTCTTGTGGCAAACATATAAGATGAGATTTCCTTTCTTTTTGGAGAAATGTTTTTCCTTTTTCTCATGTCTACAAGACAGTCGTTTCTTGGTAACGTGACAGACTGTAAAAAATAAACTCGTTGAGTATGACCATTCCCCTTTCTATCTAAAACTTGAAGAGAATGTTGGTTTAAAATATGCATCAAATTGTGTTTTCTAACCTATGACACTAAAGTCAGGTATACATGTGTCTATTTTTTTCATACAACCCATTGGCTGTACGGAAAAAAAACATATTTCACCATTTACGCTTATGAGTGTGGATGGCCGAATCCTTTGCTGTTTGCATTGTATTCTGATAGCGGCTGCCAGCCACTGTCAGAATACCCATACAGAGCTGACAGCTGATCGCATACTAGCTCTGTTCAGCCAAATATTTTCAAATCAGCTCCTCCGATTAGCTGATTGTGGGATGCTGTGTGGAAGGGTTCTGACAGCGGCACTCACTGTGTGAATTTCAGACGGTTTTAATAGGTTGAACTTTATCGATATGTGTCTTATTCAACCTCAACTACTTAAGTAATTCTGTATTTTGACAGTGGGCCCTGCCGTCTGATTGGATGCAGGCGCTGTTCAGCTGACAACTTCTCAATCAAAGGATGTCAGGTGGGAGCCGGTGTTCTGTCGAGATCTCCAACTGGTGACGTCATATCCCTTGTAGATTTCGACGAGATGGCGCTGGTGCGCGTGCGGCAGCCGTCACAGTTTTTGCAATCCTCGATGACTTCTCCACTTCCCGTAGCTGCGTCTGTGCGGCTTCTAAATTGTCATCAGGTTCTCCAACTCCTGTCAGTGCTTGTGGCATCAGGTTCCCGCGCAGGCGCACATCCGTAGATTGTACAGCTTGATACTGCTCTTGGGTGGCTGCGCAGGCGCACTGACAGGAGTTGGGAGGTCTCGACGAGTTGGAGAATTCGATAGAACACCGGCAGCTGATTCATCAAGAAATTCACTCCATGTATTAACCCGCTTTAGGCCTCATTCACACGAGTGTCTTGGTCCATATAGCATGAATGTATGCACCTGGAACTGGGTGCAGAAGCATACATGCAGCTCATGTAACCCTGTGGAGATGCAGGAGCTGTGCGCTCTCACACTCTGCTTTTTGCAACTCAGAGTTTTGAAAGCTGCACCTCGGACACAGACATGATAAATCCGTGTCCTTACACGATCTATGTGTGGCTGTCAAAAGTTGGAGCTGTGGGAAGCAGCGTGTGAGGGCGCACAGCTCCTGCATCTACGTAGTTAAATGAACTGCCTGGGCGCATGAAGAACCGGTCCCTTACTCTGTATGTGGCAACACGTCTCATGTGAATGAGGCTTAAGTGGCGTATTTCCCCTTGAATTAAAGGGCAGGAATCATGTACAGTATCTTGGTTGTAGTTTAGCCTATGGTTGTGATGAATTGTTGGAAATCAAAGCTATGATGACGCATGTTATGCATGCATTGTGCATTGGTGCCACCAAACAAAGGGAGTTCTCCTGTCAAATTCCATTTGATTAGTGTGGGGATTTCTATAGGCCGTATGCGGAATGTCCTCGCTTGGGGTCACATCACAGTATGCACAGGACCACAATACGCTTTCTTCCCTGCGATGTGGAATAAAGATGGAACATTCTTTTTCCAGATATTATTGCACTGGACAAGTATAGTGTCACTTTTAGCTTGTATCCTTTCCGAATACAAGTGTCTTGTGATAATTCCAGTAGCCACTTGCAGTCAATGGGGAAGCTAGTTTATGGTTCTTCCAAGGCTTACGCTTGCAGTTTCACTTCTGATTAATCAGGAAACGCTATAGCCATGTTATATGATCTTTTGGAATTTTAAGTCTAGGGCAGAGAGCTTCGCCAAGGTCAGTGTTAGAAAAGCATTTGCAACTCTTGTTGGATGTTTCTCTACGTGCTTAAGCTCATTTTGTTTTACTTTGTTGCACTGTTTTCACTATCATAAACTTTCCTTTCAACCGAGTTTCTTTAAAGCTTATCTCGTGGCAATATAAAATGCAAATATAACCAAGGAAGTAGGTTTTTTAAGGTGTTTAATAACTGCATAGTGTGTTTTATGTTAGAAAAGGTGTGTGTGTGTGTGTGTGTGTGTGTGTGTGTGTGTGTGTTTATATATATATATATATATATACACACACACACACACACACACACACACACACACACACACACACACACACACACACACACACACACACACACACACACACACAGTATGAGTACCAATACTTCTCCTCAAGTACTCACAAAAACCAATTACTGAAAAGTACAAAATTAGTTTCATGTGACAGTTTTTTTTTTTCTAAAGCAATGCAGACTAATAATTTTAGTACTGAGGCGTTGCACCAGGGCACGGTTCTGCCACTGACCCCCAGCTGTAGAGGGACTACAAATCTGAGCAATACATTATACAGTAATGCAGAATACCACCAGCTATAGAGGACTACAAATCCCAGCAATACATTATACAGCTATGCAGAATAATACCACCAGCTGTAGAGGGACTACAAATCCCAGCAATGCATTATACCGCAATGCAGAATAATATGAAGCTACATACTGTGTTGGGGTGGCGACTTGATGATATCTCCAAGGTGTGAGGAGGGCTGTGTTGGGTCTTGCGGGCGGGTGAAACACTATAAGCAGCAC